TTAATACGTAGAAAACAAGTCATATCCAAAAAAAAAAATATTAAAAAAACCTCAAAGTAAACCTATAATTATTTCTGATTCTGAAGGAGAAGGAATCTCAAATAAAAAACCTAAAATTAAATCAGAGTCAAGTAATTTACATGAATTAGAAATTGAAGAACGAAAAATAATACTTAAAGAGTGTACTATTGCTATTCGTGAAAAAGAACTTGATATTCGAAAAAAAGAAGCTGAAGTAGAGGCTTTAGAATTAGAAAATAAAAAAATGCGAAATGAATTAGAACATGTTATAAGCAAGCGTACTATTACTAATTCAATATATTATGCATACTCAAAGTATTAAAATAAATAAATAAAAAATGCTAAAACTCTAAAGTAATCAATTAATTAAAAAAAATGTAGTAATTCATTAGTAATCGAGTTTCAACTACAGTAATCGGGTTTGATTAAAAAAAAATGTAAAAATTCTGAAGTAATTGAGTAATCAGGTTTGATTAATATCATATGTACAAATAATAGAACAGCAATATATTTACTTTATTTGCATACGTATTTATTATCCTCAAACAATTGTATTAAAATATGTAATGTATAGTTATTAAAATATGTATGTATAATTAATTTAATATTATACCATACAACTATACAAACGGCAGTATACATTATATACTTACAAGTTTATACAATACACATTTCTGTAATACCCAGATTTTTATGGTATGTAAACAAACATAAGATATGACGTAGGTACAGATTTTACATATTTTCGAGAATAATACAAACCAAAAAGAAAATCCGATTTTGTAAATAAACTAAGTGCATAAAATGAAAATTTAGAGTTAGTAATAATAAAATTCGTATCCGTTGGAAATTAGCGGAAACGAGTTTCCACTTATTCATATACTGTCAGGGTATTTTGATTATGATCGGGGATTAGGGCCTAACACTCCGAAAACTTTAATTAGTGCACCAAAGTCGATTTAAACACTAGTTTTTGAGTATTTTTGCATTTTTCTTCCTTCGTACGCGTTCAAAATTTGCACTTTCTATTTGGCTTCCTTTTTAAGAGTTTGTATTACTCACTAAAATAAGACGTACGTACATACGTACGCATTTACTAATTCCCCCAAAGCTTCTATTGGCTGGGATTATTCGCACCAGTTTACATGTCACCTTCTAATCAAAATGTGACACCTAAGTTAGGGTTTGGAGTAGGTTTGGGGTTAGTGAACATTATTATTCTAAAAACTAGTAATAAAACGGCGACGTTTTATAGGGCTGGAGCCTTATGTATTAGGTTCTAAATTTTTTAAAAAAATTGTA